ACAGGCTAAGGCAGCTGATGGTGATGTCCGGGGAAATGAGCTGTGGTCCTCCACCATGCACAGGGGAGCCTCTCCTTCTTCCCAGCCATGCCTTCTCTGGCTCAGTCTTTTCTATGCTGGCTTTGGACAGAAGTTTCCATCTGAAGGAAGTGAAGCAGAGATGCCTTGCCTAAAGTCCCACTAAGACAAGGGAAGCAGAGATGCCTTGCCTAAAGTCCCACTAAGACAAGGTCTTTTCTATGCTGGCTTTGGACAGAAGTTTCCATCTGAAGGAAGTGAAGCAGAGATGCCTTGCCTAAAGTCCCACTAAGACAAGGGGAGCTTAGTGGTGGCCAGCTGCCTTCTGGCTCTGGCTCAGGTTTATAGTCCTGCAGGAGAAATGCTGAACCCCAGAATATTAAACGTGTAATGGGTGAGCCAGGCATGGTGGCACGTACCTGTAATCCCAGCACTCTGGGGGGCTGAGGCGGGAAGATTGAAAGTTTGAGCCCAGCCTGGGCAACTTAGCAAGTTAGTGAGACCCTCTTTCAAAATAAAAAAAATAAACAAGGGCTGGAGATGTAGTTCAGTATAAAGATCCTAAGTTCAGTCCTCAGTACTGCAAAGAACAAAAACAAAAACCATAATGGGAAGGGGCATGCCTTGTTTTCCTTCTTAGAGTGAAAGAAACAGCTCCTAAATTTTACATCTTCGTGTCACCTGCTCCTTACAGCTCTGCCTTGGGGAATCAGCTGGCCAGCAGCTGCCTCAAGAGCCATTCAAAGAGCAAATGAATGAGGGCTCCAAGAAGCTGCAACCCAGAAGGGCCCCTTCACTCTGTGCCTCTCATACTGGAGGACAATGGAGCCCTGGTCATCCTGGGAAGGAGGCAACAAGGGCTGGACACAGCCACTCCCATGCTGGGAGGTGTCACCAAGTTTCTTACCACCCTGACTGTCAGGTTCCTTGAGTGAGAAGTCATGGCCTTGGAGGGCTATTGTCACGACAAATGAGAGAGGTTAGCTACTATTACTATCAAGAGTATCATTAGCCTTCATTGTAGCTGTCAGTTATACACCCAGATTGTTTGAGCCTTGCTTAATGCATTCAAGAAATGTGGCAGTCAGAAACATGTAGATTGTATACCTGGGATTCCTTGCTGAGGTTTGGGAAGTGATGGAGCAGGACTGAGTGAGAAGAGGTGTGAGGTCACAGTGAATCGGAGCTCTGCTCCTTACTCCTCTGTGGACTTGACACATCACTTCACCTTTCTGAGCCTCAGTTTCCTCACCTGTAGGGTGGGAATATACTATTTAGAAATGCTCTTCATTCCCAGCACTCAGGAGGCTGAGGGCAGCCTGGGCAACATAGCCAGCCATGGACTACATGGTGAGACCATGTTTAAAAAACAAACAAATAAATAAATAATAAACCGAGAAATGCTTTTCACTGCAGAGTTAAAAAATCTCTGCTGGCATAGAAGGAAAGAGATTTATTTTCCTTAAACTGACTTAGTGGGAAGTTTGGGGTGATTGATGTAGGGTTATTTCAACAACTCCACAGGGGCCCAACCTTCTTCTTTTCCTATTCTTCTCATCTTTGCTCTGTTCTCATGTTTGCTGCTTCATGGCCTCAAAACAGCTGCCCTGCCTCCAGTTCAGGAAGGGAGGGCTGTCCTAAGGTCTTTGCCTATATCTTTTTTTGGCTAGAATCCTGGTAGATGATCTCTCCTAACTTCCATGGGGTCTAGGCAACGGCTGGTTTTAGCTCCTCGCCTTTTCAGCAGAAGAAGGCAAGGGAGTGCTGTGTGGATGCCCTTCAGGTAGCAAATCTGCTCTGGGGCCTTGGGGAGGATGCATGTAACCTGCTCACCCCAGTGCCTGACACAGATAGGTGCCCAGGATGGGGATATTTTATCTTTATGAGCTAAGCCAAGTAAGGAATAAACTTTTAAATTTTATAGAGCAAATTGGGCCTTACTCAACGAATTTCTTTCTTATTCTTCTCTTGGTCTCCATCATCCTGGTTAGGGTTGCCCTCATGTCCCCCATCTCTGGCAAAGCTCCCACTGAAACTCTGATCATGGGACCTCTCTGAGTGCCCCCAGTTCCCACATACTCTCTCCTCAGCCTGCAGGCTCTGGGCGGCTTGGGAACTTGGTGGTGTCCCCCAGTTATGAAACAATTGCAGTGTTCTCACCAAAGGACACTGTACTATCCTTGGTCCCAGGGCTCAGAAGTCTCGCTCAGCCCCTACTCCTGTCCTACCCTGCTCTCTGCAGTGACGTCAATGCTCAGACCCTGGGAGGAATTACTTGGCCTCCTGACTTCTCCACAGAGATACAGCCCTGATCTGTGGGGCTTTAAGTGTGTTTTTGAAAATGTACTCTTCCAGCTACAATGCAGAGTTGTGATGCTTTATTAACTAGAACACCTGGGGTGTTTATTGCAGTAAGGTTTTCTCTGGGCTCCTGGTTGTTTGTGCATGGTGGTCATAGATTATGCAGGCTGGAGAGGTCAGGGAAGGAAAATTTATTAGTTTCACAGCCAACAGCAGATCTTATTTCATAATCAGCAGCTCACCTCCACCTGGGCTTGACAGCTAATGGACATGAACCTCAAACTGGGAGTCATTTCTCCCAGACTTTAATGGAGACAGATCTCAAGGTGTCTGGGAGCCAGGAAGGGTTGGATGTTAGCAGGGAACAGTGCTGAGTACACATCAGATTTGCCTGCTGAGTCCATTGTGTGAGTCTATTGTGTGGACAGAGGCTGGCGGGGCTGATCTACAGGGAAGCAGATTACGGCAGCTGGTGATTTACTCTTGGATGGAAGGAGGGAGGATGAGTTGAATAACAACCCCTTGGAAAGTGAGAAACAGATCTTTCTACCCAGCCTCCCCTGCTTTATGGACCCTCCAGGGCCCTTGCCAACAAATCTCTTGATCCTGCTGCAGGCTATCGACACAGGAAGAAATAGATGGCTCTGCTGCTTTGTGATGGCTGCCTTGCTTGATGCTTTGGCCAAGGGTATCATCAATCTTGAAATTTTGGGGAAACTGTATGGATTTTTGTTGGGGAGGAGACTAGCTGTATTTGTGGGTTAGAGAGTGGTATAAATTAAAAGCATGGCTCCTGTAGTATTTTTGAAGTTTTCTGTGGCATTTCACATCAATCCTTCAATAATGTCTAGTATTAATTTGTGCACTTCCTATGCATTTGTTCTGTGCTACTGTCTTGTCATGGATGGGTCTTGTGTATTAATCTGATACAACTCTGTGAAGGCAGAGCCATTACATTTTCCTGTGGCTAACAAGGAGGCTCAAGCTCCATGCAGTTGCTCACTAGGCATATCTGAAGTGCTGGACTGAGACCAGAGTTCCTGTCATTCTGTGCTTACTCTGGAATAAATGGCCAGGCAGGTGGGAGCAACTATTGTTGGCTAGGACAGCTAGGGGTGGTGTCCTCTCTCTAGACCTGTTTCTCCCACTAGGAAATGAAAGCTTATCTCTCAGATGATTGGATTTCAAAGGTCAAATGCTCTGTGCCTTTGGGACTGCAAAGAGTAATTTTATGTGTCAATTTGACTGGGCCACTGGATGCCCAGGTATTTGGCTATGTGTGCCTGTGAGGGTGTTTCTGGGTGAGATAAGTATCAGAATGTATGGACTCAGTAAAGTGCAGTTTGTGGTGGGGAATCTGTTACAGTTAGATCTGGGGTGTCCCCCCAAAGCTTCATGTCTGTGGCAAGTGATAGATCAAGGGGGTGCTATACTCATCAATGAATTGGTCCACTGATGACTACACAGATAATACGCTGTTAGGAGGTGAGCTTTGGTGGGGAACAGTGGGTCACAGGGGCAGGCTCTGGAGGGGTGTATCTCTTTTCCTGGCTCCTCTTTCTCTCTCTGCTTCCTGACTGTCGTGATGTGAGTAGCTTTCTCTGCCAGGCTCTTCCACTATACCCTTTCTCTCATGGAGCCAGCAGACCGTGGACTGAAAATGTCAGGCAAAATAAGCCTCTTCTCTTTTTTTAATTTTGGGTATCAGGTATTTTGCAAAGAGAAAAGTGACTAAAATAGTATCATTCACTTGGTTCAAGGACTGAATATAATAACAAGGCAGATGAAGGAAGCCTGTAGCCCTTTTCCTGCCTGATGACTGGTGTTGGAACATTGCATCTCACCTCCTGCTCACACTGAGACTTACAAGCACAGCACCAGCTCTCCTGGTTCCCAGGACTCACAGTGAATGATGCCACCAGCTTTCCTAGGTCACCAGCTTGTAGACAGTAGGCATATTTGGGACCTCTCAGCTTCTATTATTGTGTAACATGTGTACAGTCATTTGTCCCTCAGTATCCATAGGAGATTGGTTCTAGGATATCCCTGTGGTTACAAAAATGTGAAGATGCTCAAGTCCCTTATATAAAATGGTGTGGTCTATGCAGACAACCTACACATGTCCCCTCAATTTAAGGTTGGATCTGCAAAGGCCTACATGTTGAAGGTATGCTCCCAACTGGTGAAAGGTAGTGGAACTTTTAACAGGTGGAGTCTGGTGGAAGAAAGTTAGATGTGTTAGCCTTCTTGCCACTGAGACACAATATCCCACACCTTCAATTTGAAGGAGGAGAGGTTAATTTGGCCCATTGTTTCAGGAGATTCCACCCATATTTAGCTGCCTACAGGGCAGAAACCTGAGGGCAGAAGGGTGTGGTGGAGAAAAGACTCTTAGTTCACAGTGACCAGTGTTACGTTTTGGTGTGAGCAAAAACCAAAACAAAGTAAAAAATGCCTGTACTGCGGGCATGGGAAGGCTGCTGAGAGAGAGACAGATGCAAGGACCTTCTCTGCAGGGAAGACAGGAAGAACAATAGCTATATAGGGCCAGGCTGGAGAGTGGGGTTTTGAGGGGGGGTGGTCTGTCTGTATGATGTGGCAGATGGTGATTGGTCAGGGGGTGGGGAAAAGGAAACAGGATGTTGTAAAAAGGAAGTAGGAAGTTGTAACCTGACCAGGAAGGAGAACGGTGGGCGTGGCTTAGAACATGGCTATCCCTGGGTACACCATGTTGGCTCATTACCGTGGTGAATACATAGAATTTTTAATTTGGGTGGAAACTCCTCAGCCAGGAGCAGAGCAGGGGAATAGTGCTGGAGAGGAAGGGGTCAGGGACTATACAAGTATGCAAGCTTATACCTCCAAGACCAACTCAGACATACCCAGAAGTATTATTTACTAATCTGCTAGGTGTGTTTTAATCCAGACAAGTTGAATATCAGGATTAATGGTCATATTTGGTCACTGGAGCATGACCTCAAGGTCATGGGATTCTTGCCCCTTCCTGACTCTTTCTATTTGCTTCCTGGCTGCTATGAGGAGAACAGCCCTCCTCCATCATGTGCTCCTACCATGATGCTGCCTGAGGCCCAAAGTGATCACAGACTGAAACCTCTTTTCTCCTTGTAAGTCGATTATCTCTGGTATTTTGTTACACTGACAGAAAGCTGACTAACATGCCCCATACATTTTGTATCATCTTTAGATAACTTCTAATGCTTAATCCAGTGTAAATGCTATGTAAGTAGATATTATACTGAACTGTTTAGGAAATAATAAGGAAAAAGTCTGTGCATTTGATCTATGACTGGTTGAACATACTGATGTGGAACCCATGGCTAAGGAAGGCAGTTGTACACATGTCCTGTGATCTCTGTTTCTCAAGAGAACTCTCATTCATACAAGGAGCAGGTTTCTGGCAATGAGGTCTTGTTAATGGTTAACTCCTGCAAAGCATGAAGTAGTGTAAATATGCCTCTCACCACCTGAACTGAAGAACCATACAGGAAAAACCCGTTTATGACTTTCCAGAATGGTCTCCTTTGTAAGTATAAGCTTCTTTCCTTCAGCCCCAAGCCTTGCCCCTTGCTGTATGTAGTTACTTTCTCACTGCCCCACTATTGTCTGGTGGAGTAAGGACATTATCAGATTGTCATGTCCTCAAGCTGAGGCCAGAAGCCAGTGACACAGACCTGAGGTATGCTAGGAGACAGGGAACATCTCTAAAACTCCTAAGAGTCATAGAAGGACAAGAAGTTTCCCTTTGACAGTCTTTCTCAGATACACATTTGCACAGTTACTCACAGGCCCTTGAGGCTGAGAGAGACTAAGAGTACCATCCACTCTGCTTGCTGCCATGTGCTGAGGCCTGCTCTGACAAGCAGCTTTCACCTTAGGCCTGCATACCTTGGTTTGGACTCTCCCAGAATCAGAGTTGACTACCTTACATGGGAGGGGATCACATGAAGTCCTGAGAGGACAGTGGGGAGCTCAAAAAGAATGTAGACAATCAGTCAATCAGTCAATCAATCAGAAAGATACTTGTGCTGCTGGAGGACAATGGGAAACTGGAATCTACCTCAGGTTCTTGCAACAATAGGGCAAGGACAGTGGTGACCCATCTGCCATTTCCCTGTCTGCTGATCCTTTGAGGACTGCTTATAGCAGTGTTATTTCTACAATACCCCTGGTCTGAACCGGACTACCATGTTCCCAGAGCCAAACAAAAGTCTGCAGGCAGTGTTACAAACTGAATGGGAAGGGCCCTCCCTATTTATATTCAGCATGTAATGGTCTTAGGAGGTAGGGAGATGATTAGGTCTTGGGCATGCCATTTTCATGAATGGGATCTGTTCCCCATTAAGAAGGTACTACTTGTGGACCAGTGGTACCTCACCAGGAGTCAAGTGGGTTGTACCTTGGACTCCCTACCATCCAGAACTAAAGGTAATAAGTATGTATTCTTTAAGCTTCCCTGTGTATGATAATTTGTTATAGCAGCCCACGCTGACTGATGCAGACCTAGAGTCCCAGGCATTTGAAGGTAGCAGTTGGTGGGTAGAGGTGAATGTCACAGGCATGGGTGGGGCTTGGGGATGGTTAGCTTCTCTAGTTAACTTGACCAGGCTGTACCTCCAGGATATTTAACCAAGCCCTAATGTAGGTGTTGCTGTAAAGGTATTATACAGATACATTTTTTTTTAAGTAAAGGAGGTTACACTCATCAATGTGGGTGGGCTTCATCCAGTCAGTCAAAGGCCTTAATAATAAAAACCAAGGTTCTCTCAAAAAGGAGAAATTCTGCTTCTAGACTCCAGTATCAACTCCTGCCTGACTTCCCAACCTGCTGGCTTGCCTTACAAACTTTAGACTCCAGGGTACCACGTCAATGTCCCTGGTCAGGTTTCTAGGCTGCGAACCTATGGTACAGATTTTGTACCTGCAGTCCTCACAGTCATGTGAGCGATGGGTTGCTAGCTTCTTCTACTCACTCCTTTGAGCAGCCTGTTCTGACCTTGGACTTCCCAGTTTGCTGGAAAGATCTTCCCCTAGATCCAAAATTGGTGACTGTTGCAGGGTATAAGTGGTCCCCCAAAGGTAGCACATCCCAATTCCCAGAATCTATAACTTGACCTTGTTTGGGAAAAGGGTCTTTGCAGGTGTGATTAAGTTAGTAATCTAGTGATAGATTGTTCTGGATTATGTGGGAACTTCCCAGTTATCATCACCAATGTCCTCAAGAAAGACAAAGGGAGATGTGCAGACAGAAGGAGCAGAGACCAGAGCTTCAAGTCAAGGAATTCAGCAGTACCAGGAGGTGGAAAAGACAAAGAATTGATTCTCCCTGAGAGCCCCTGGAGTGGGTATAATTCTTCTCTTATAATTCCTTAGTTTTGCTCAGTGATACTGATTTGGACCTTCTAACCTTCAGAACTGTGGGAAAATAAATTTGTGTTATTTTAGGTCACCAGGCTTGTGGCAGTTTTTTATAGTAGCTGCAAGAGACCCATCCAGTGTTTCTGGATGTCATCTCATTGCTCCCAGCTCCCCTCCTCTCCCATTACAATGTTCCCAGCATTTGTAGAAGCACCCAGTGCTCCCTGGCTCTTTGTTCTTGTAGGTGAAGCTGAACATTCAGTGTCTTTACCTTTTCCTCATGACACAGATTTGTCTCCTCCTGCCCTCTTCTTGTGGAAAGACCCTAATATCAGTGTTCCCAGGGTTCTTTGCTCAAAAGCAGGATGTGAACAGCACCCACGGAGGGCAACTCTCTTTCCTGTGGTTCATTTGCCGGCTGCTGTGCATGCAATTCAAGTCTCCACAGACTTGGGGGATGCTTTCTTTCAAACCAGAACTACTTTTAGCTGCCACACACACACTGGTTCTGAAGAGGTGGTAGGGTTGTCTTGCTCAATAGCGTTGCCCCATGCTTAGCTCTGGACGTGGTACCATCTCTCAGGGCTTCTGTTACCTTTAACTGACCTGAGACTTGCTCCATAGCAGTAGGGACACAAAGGAAGGATTTCTTTCCTGCAACGTGAGAAGTTGTAGATATGGCTGGAGAGCTCAGCCTTCTTGGGGTCCTGTTTTGCTGACAGGCATGGCTATTCTCATGAAAGGTGCCACATGGTCATCAGCAGCACTACTCCACCTGCACCCCGCTGGCCTGTCCATCCAGCCATCCTGCCCTTGTGGCTGGGTGAATGAGTGGCCTCAGTGTCTGCCTCTCTGTCTTGATCACTCTAGATTTGAGGGTGTGCTCTTAGGGAATCCTCCTTCAGGTTCCAGTTCCCACACTAGCTCTTCTTTCTCGAGAGGCTTCCTCAGAGGTTGTGGGGTACATGTCCACGCTAAATCTGATAAATACTACATTTTTTCACTTGGCAGTGAAAATCTTTGCCAATGAAACCGCATGTGTGCTATTTTTTTTTTTTCCTCCGATACCGGGAACCGAACTCAAGACCTTGCGCTTGCCAGGCAGGAGCTTTTGCCGCTGAGCTAAATCCCCAGCCCCTTCATATGTGCTATTTTTGGTAGGAATCGAGCAGAGAGGGGTAGGATTTAGATCCAATAACCCACCTGTGGGTGTTAAGAGACCGCTAGGAGAGTCAGGAGACAGTGCAGAGAGTGCAGACTCAGGCATGGCTGTGACCACATCTTCCTCTGTTATTACTATTATTTTTATCATTGAATAAATATCTGTGCAATTTAATGAATGAGTGATGCATGCTTCCTAGTAGGGAGTCTTTTGGGCATATTAAGGGGCACTAGTCAATTTTTAGGGGTAAAAGTAAGAAGAACGGGTTGTAATCATTGTCCAGTAAAGACTAGGGAAGGTAAGGATCACAGCTAGGAAGAGTGCATTTCCAGTTTCTTTTAGGCTTCTTGATTGTTCCAACCTGGCTTTTTGGGTTTCTGAGCATGGCAGGCAAGATCACACGAGCTCCTCCTGATGGCGTTGGTTCCCTGTGGATCTTCACATGTCCATTGCATAACGATTTGAAGGAACTATGGATAGAGGATGAAAGTGCTGCAATGCACAAAGGCCAGACCTGCACTGGGCTCTGCTAGAGTTTGGAAGTTCAATCCAGGAATCAGTGCCAGCCCAAACCAAGGCTGAACTGCATGACCTTTCATACAGGGTAGATTGTCCCTCTGTGGCCACTCCTCCGGCTGAATCCAATTCCCAGCATGGTCTCTACCACTGCTCAGTCCTGGCCTGAAGTCCAAAATGTCTGGCGGCTGAGTCCAAAAGTATTATTGCCATAGTTTGTCACTAACTTCCAAGGAGTAATCAACTACAAAATTAAAGATCACTAACTAGCTCTCCAAAGTTCTCAGAGTCCTACTTATTTACTTATTTACTTCAGTAACCAAGATGCTCATGGCTAAAACCATAATGTCAGTTGCTAAAGGATCTTGTTAAAATGCAGATTTTGATTTGGTAGCTCTGGGGTGGAACCTAAAATTTTGTATTCCTAACAGTCTTTCAAGAGGTGTTAATATTGCTGGCTGAGGACCACACCTGGAGCAGGAAGAATCTGGATTCTGTGGGTTCACTGGGTGAGTATATGTTGTGCTTCCAACTCAGACCATTATCTGCAAAGTTTAAGCACACTTCAAACAAGTTGCTATGTGTCACTGTGTAGAATGCTGTTTTCATGATTTTTTGCTCTTAAGATGTGTGTATCTGAGCTGGGTGTAGTGGCATACGCCTGTAGTCCCAGCACTTGGGAGGCTGAGACAGGAGAATCACTGTGAGTTCAAAAGCAGCCTGGGCTACAAAGTGAATTCAAGCCCAGCCTGAACTGCATAGTGAGATCCTGTCTCAAAAAGACAAGAAAAAAAGATGTTTGTATCTGTAACTTCATTAAGAGATAACGTATCCTTATTTTGCCAAGAATCAAAAATCAAGCAGAGTCATTTCCAGAAGTACACACCTGCTCAGGGTCTTCATTCTCAACGGGCTTCAGACTTTAAGTGGATTAAATAATGTCCCCTCCTGCAAACTCTCCGGGGCTCTTCTTCTAGAAGCAATCAGTGTCTGAGTGATCTGGATCCACATTGAGACAGAGGGCACTGGAGACTCAGATGTGACAGTACTATTTCCTTGTGTCTGAGGCACACTAATGCAGGAGATTCAAAATAAAGCTCTATGTCTTTGCACCCAACCCATACCTTCTGTCTTTTGCTTTTGTGGGGAACATCACTGGGCTCCCAGCCTCTTACTGCCGAAGCCTGACTTTTACTTTGACCTCTGAGCCTTTTATGGGTGGAGAGCATGTTAATCCATCTTTGTGACTCTAGTAGCTGGCTTACCAAATGCCTAATAAATATGTGGATTAAATGCATACCTCTCAGATGGCTTTTACTTTATCTCTCTGACTTGCAACATAAATAACATGTACCCAGAAACAGTTAAGGCACGTTCTGGAAAGTGTTCCGGGAAGTGTTCCGGAAAGTATTCCTAAGCCTATAAACTCAAGTAGGAGTGGCATGGGGGCTGTTTTGTCGAACCCCTGGGTGAGTAGATCGGGGGTCAGGAGGGGCTGATGACTTGGCCCCAAGTATTGCATAGCAAATTTAAGAATAGCCGACCTAGAACCTGGCTACCTGCTTCTTCCTCCTCCTATGGGATTCTGTCTATTTTTTTCCACTTAGAAAAAGAGAAGAAAGAAATGAAGAAAATGCTCCAAAGTACATAAAGAAAGGAGGCTGTGCCTATGAATTTTGTTCTCTGGGCTTGGGGGCCCCAGCTGCTGATGTCTCTGAGACCTCTCATAGGCTTTCTCTCTGGGATTTAGAGTTATGGTGGCATTTGTTTCCATGACAATTATGAGACCCTGTGATTTTTATTTTTAATTTAGGTCTGAGGATGCAATATGATGCACTCAGAAAGGACATGGCCCAAACTTTGAAAAACATGTATCTTGTGACCCATAAATTTCAGTTCTAGGAATTTCTTCTTATACACATGCACAAAGATTTTATATAAGGATATGTGTGCACTTGTGTTAGAAACACTCTCAGTAGGGAAGGTGTCTAAATAAATTATAGCAAGTCCACCCCCCAATGTTCTGTATTCACTGAAAAAAGTAGGGGAGAGCTGTTTTTGTGGATTGTCTCAGAGATGTGTCCAGATATTCTGCTAAGTGAAAAATCAAATCACAGAAAAATATGTATAAGAGAATTCTGTTATGTTCTAATAAAATTGTATGTCTGTATAAATATATTAGGACATTTCAGGAAGAATACAAAAACCTGTAAATAATGATTCCTCTGGGAAGGACGTAGATGGTTAGGGGGAAGGTGGAGAGGAGTTTCCAATTTTAATTGTATTTATTTTGTTTCATTTATGAACAAAAAATTAATACAGAAAATTATATTATGTTAATACATTTTTTTGTTTTGAAAGCAATACAGAGAGAAAAGTAAACAAGCAAGGCTTTGCTGTCATTTCAATTTATGTTTGACCCTTGTGTTAGTTACCCTTTGCTCCATAACAATTTGTCCTCAAATGGAGGTGTATCAAACCACTTGCCTTTATTACCTTTTAGTGTCAGTGGCCAAGAACCTGGGTCCTCTGACTCAAGGTTTCTGTCAACGTTGGACTCAAGATGAAGATGTTGGCTGTGGTCTCAGCTGAAGGCTTCCCTGAGGAGGTTGATTCTAGGGTTGCTGACATGGTGGTTGGCAAGAATTGGTTCTTCATGAGCTGTTGGACTGAGGGTTTCAGTTCCTTGCCATGTGGACTTCTCTATAGGAAGCTCACAAAATGACGCTGGCTTCCTTTGGAGCATGTGAGCACGTGAGACTGTGGGCAGTGTGGGGAAGTGGGAAAGATAGAGGCAGAGACTTCTATAACAGAAGCATCCCTCAAAGTCTGCCATGTTCTACCCATCACAAGTGTCCCTAGGTTCTCCTGCAGTTCATGCTAGGAGGCGGAATCACTGAGAGCCAGAACAGAGATTCCCTACCACAGTCCCAGGCTCTTCTATTCAGTTTTCACGCGGTGTGACATTGGGATAGTCATTTAAGATCTCCCAGTCCCACTCACTACACTGTAAAATGGGCTTGTGACAGCCACCTCAAGGGAGTGTGGTGAAGATAGTACACAACAGCTTGTCTAAGAGCCGAGGAAGTGCTTGAATGTGGCAGCCTGGGAGGGCAGCCCTGCTCTTTCAAAGCCACAGATGATCTATGGATTAAGCATCTTTCAGGATTATCAGCACAAGTTGGAAATCCATCCACACAGGCTCTGCTTTTCCAGAAACTCACATTCCAGGGAACTCTCCAGATAAAATTATATTTATGTCAAGGAGCCTGGAATAAAGAGGTCTCTATTTACAGACTGACAATGCAATGTGAGGAAATAGGATCGGGCAGCCTGTTAATAACTGCGATTTGGCCTGAAGGTGCCATAGATTATACAACACTTAAAGAAAATGGGGCCTTTTACAATGGGTCTCAGTCATTAGGGAAGTTCTGCATTCAAAATTAGTCAGAAAAGGTAATTAGTGTCAAGGAGCGATTGCAGCCGCATCATTAACGTGACAGATGTTGGTGCGGGTGCTCGCTAATGACTTATGGAATTTTCATTCAGGAGACAATCGGAGCAATTTGGTGGTCAGCAGACAGTCTGAGAATCAATCACCACAATAGTCAATAATTTATCATTTCTATTTAAAGTCTGGAAACTGCATCAGCTTAAACAGAGTGAGCCCTGGTGGAGGAAGTTTGGCCTCTAACACACTCTTGAACCTTGGTTTGGGGCCTATGTAAGTGGTATCTATTTTATTTGTGTACAGAGCAAACAGGAAAGTTTTTTAAAGGATTTGTTTCTGATTCCATCATAGGGTAGAAACAGCCACATGCTGCTGTCCGCAGGGGAATCAGAAGTTAGCTGGGAAACTAGATTTAGTTTTACAAGTTTACCTCTGGGGATTAGAAAGAAGACTCTTCCCACTCAGTGACCCCTGGATCATCACTGGTGACTGTGAGGTGGACAGAGATTAGCTGTCATTCCTTAGGACTGGCTCAGAGGGACTGAGTGTTTCTGAAGGGAACCCAGTTAGTAACTGACTGTTGGAGTTCTGACTTTGGTCTTGTGTGGTATCATTTCAACATGCATAATGTTGGTAATAATAGTAGTAGAAATAACACAGCATTTCTTGAGAGCTTTTCTGTGCCTGGTGTTGGCTGAACATTTTACATGTGTTGGTTCAACTTGACCTTTACAGGGAGGCTTACAGAGGTGGAGCGAATAGATCAAAGCCACACAGCAATGAGATACAGAGCTGTTCTTCAATCCTAGATCCTGTTCTCCTAAGTACCCTGTTATTGAGGTGCTGGATACAGGAAATGGATGCAAAACTTTTCCTATCTCAGCTATCTTGCAATGACAAACAGAAGTACCAAACTACCAGGATTTGGAGGCAGATTTATTTACATCAATGGGCACTGATTGGGATCATTCCCAGAATATCAGGCCCTAATCTCTGGTGGTCTTGGGCTTATATGAGATAAGCAAAGCAGGAAGTACAGAGGCAGAATGGCTTGTCAGTTGGGGATTGATTGATACAGTGTGTATCATAGTGACCAGCTGTACATCACAGTGACCAGCTGTTTCTAAGAGACCAAAGCAGCTGGAACTGGAACAGGAATTATTACCTGTGTGTTATAGTTTGTGTCTAGATGTCCCCCAAAGGCCTCATGCAGTCGTGAAGTAGGTTTCTAGAGTTTATGATTGATACATGGTCCATGTTGGAATTATGGACGTGACTGTTACATCTGCCCTGGGGTGGGTAGTTTGCATACAGTGTAAAGGAAGGAAAGAGGCTGCTTGCCACTGCTCCTCCCTTTTGCTCTTGTTGTTTTGGCTATTTTCCACCACCTTGAACTGTTGCCTTCTGCCATGTGCCATCCTGCCTTGGAAGCGGCTGAGTATGGACTGAAACTTCCACAAACTGTGGGCTAAATAAACTGTGGGCTTTCCTTCTTAATTCTGGGTGTCAGGTATATTATCTCAGCAATGAGAGAAAAGTAGCTAAGACACTGGGCAACTAAGAAACTGAAATATACTGGCTGGGGGGGGTATATTTTCCATTACAATCTCATCTATAAAATATGAATACACATATAATTTTAAGATTAAGTTGCTTGGTGAACTGTTATACTGGGTGCCTAAAACCAGAAGGTAGCTATGATCTTGGTTATTACACAGCCAATCAGCCAGGACCTGAAGATTTCCATTCCACCTACTCACTTCTCAAAGCTCCCAAGACATTGAGTCCTGCCTAGTTGTTCTTGACAGAGTCTCAAGTGTCAACACTGAATTTTAAACTCATATCACATTTGGTCTAAAGATACTACCAGATTCACTTTCTAGTTATTTAAGCCTATGAGTCCTTCCTTCCAAGACTTCCAGTGGCATCCCATATACTTTAGGTTTAAATCCAGCTTTCTCTGATCAGTGTTCAAGGTGTAATCTGGCTTTAACTTGCTTCTAGAATCCTCTCCTAAACAAACCTTCTGTTAACTTAGATTCCTCCCCCGACTACATTC